ACGATACCAGGTGCTTTGGTCACTTTGCAAGAGACACTCTACAAGTCGAGATCAAGAAAAGCAATTTCATCTTGTCAACTGTAAAGAGGTCACCGTGAGGTCCGGGAATTCAGGATCCCAAACCTGGTTAAATGTCACTCTCATATCCAAATGGCTGTAGAGAAAATCTGTTCAGAAGGTGAGTCTATAGAGGAAGGAATCCTTGTAAATATGCTCATCACGAATCCCAAGCGTAGGCAAGACTTAAAGCATAGGTGTGGGAAGTTCGGAATGGTGTTAGGTTTAGTGTAGGTCATGGTGTTCATATGGGATTAACAAGTGTGATGATTAGTATCTACCAAACTGCTCTCAATGCTCTAAGGATGGCAGGAAGTGTTCAAAAGTTTCAAGTAGAGAGGGGCTAATGGAGCAACCAACCCCATAGAGTCTCTAAAGCTTCATTCTTTAAAATATGTTCAAATGTCAACCCATTACTACTGGGTTCAAGCTTCTTTGTTACAAACTTTGATGGAGAGCAAGAGATAATGTCTTCCAATCCACTGGGGACAGCAAATTCAATGTGAACTTCAGCCAAGTTATATATACTTCAAACCACTCTATATTCTCATGGGATTCCTGACTATTGAAGGAGCCTCAATGAATATGACTATATAGTTGCCTTAATGGTGGTTATCCATCGGAAGCTGGATTTTGTTTTTTCAGGGAAATTGTTTAGCAGGCTGCTAAATATAATCAACTAATGTAACAGAGAACTATCTAAAAAGGGAATCAAAGTTGAGAGTGAATAATTTTATAGCGATTGTGAAGAATTCTATACCAATTGTGATTTTAACCAAGCATAAATTAGGTTCATTTTTCCTCTTGATTTTAACCGACCATAAATTAGGTTCATTTTTCCTCTTTATGAGTTCATCACTCATTGAAAAGAAAGAGATGAAAAATATCAGGCATGACAAACTATAGCAGACATCAGTACAACAAAACAAGATTACATCATATGGATTCAGTTTGATTGAATTCCAGTAAGGGTTTGACAATAAGTAGCTACAACTTAAGTCAACGAACTAAATAAGTCCATGCAACTATATAAATGGACAAAATCATAGTTAACGCAGCTGACCATATAATTGGAGAGACAAGATCATACCAGCGCCCAAAAGCGGAAATAACGCCAAATGAGAAGGAATTTCAACCACATGAAATTTAAGACCTGCCACAGGCCCACAACTGTCAAACATTTACAGTTCATCAATTTTAACAAGAACAGTGAGATACAAAAACCATTCCGAACCCCTGAAAATCCATTTCTGCACAAGAAAAATGGATTTGGGACTATTAAAATAGATTTTTTGTTAACATTTACTTAAAAGGACTTGGAGCTATTAAAAATGATGCAAATCTGACTGATCCACAGTCTATTGAAATGAACAGTAATTCAAGAAGGACTACTTTTAGGGCTCCAAATCATTTTCTCTTCAGATTCATAATTTAAGTGTGCAAGTGAATGGATCTGTAGAGTTTGGGTTCTCAAAACACCAAAAATCATATAGAAATGAGGGACACCACACTTTCTCAGCAGTGGCCAAATACTTTTCCCTCTATTATACAATATATAGGGTGCGGTTTTTATAAGGTTGCAACCTTATTTGTACAAACAAGGTTGCGATACTCTATACTATTCATTTTATTTAGACAGTGTAGATTTGACTCATCTTTTAAGATCGTGTCAAAACATGGCACGTATTTTAAGAGAGTGTCAAATCTACATTGGCCAAATAAAATGGATGGTGTAAATTACTGCAATCTTATTTGTACAAATAAGGATGCAACCTTATATAAACTTTTTCCTAATTTATAAAACCACAACAAACAGTTTTTTAAACTTATTTTCAAGTTACAAGATGGAGCAACAGGGAAAGAAACGGTGATGCATGAAGATGAGTATGCTCATCAATGAATCACATGGCAATTGTACCAATATGCATTGCGACATAATTTCTATATCTAATGAAGGATATAATTTTAATAAGTACTTGGTCACATTGTAACAGTGGAATATAGATTTCAATGCGCATGAAATGTTATGAGACATGGGCTATTTACTTCAACATATTCCCTAAATATAATCTTTCTCTTTTGGACATGATAATATTCACCAAATATGTAGTACGGAACGTAGTTGGTGACTTGGTAGGGATTTTCGCAAACATATTGATGTAGAGAACTTGAGAAACAGTAAAATCAGCAAAAAATCTCAGCCAAACACATGCAATTTTGCGGAAACACTAAGGTTTTCTCCCCAGCTAGGGATCAAGCCTTGGGTTTCTGTTCTTTCTTCTTCAATACAAGTTTGCTTTCCTCAAAAAAAAAAAATGACATGATTCCCCCTCCAGCCATCCATGCCCCACTTAAATTGTATGTTTAATGTTTTGGCCAATGGTTTAAAAAACGGATCGGTGACCCGGATCGGGCTTCCAAAAAACCGATCTGGATCGGCGAATCGGCGATCCGGATCGGCGAATCGGCGATCCGGATCGGGAATCGGGTGAATCGGTCAGAATAAAGCTTAAAAAAAATTCGAAAAAATTATTAAAATTCATTATAAATATTGTTTTTTAGGAATTCAATAAAAAATGAGGGTACTCCATTAAGAATTTTCATGTTTTTGAATGAATATGAGAATATTGATATGTTCTTTCCCTGCATGAACCGCCATTCAGCATTTAATTTACAGTATTTCGTGCTCATCCCTACACTGTTGCTGTTGGGACTCGATATGTGAATAATATGGCTGGGATAGGGTGGCCTTAGAATCATCATCTCTCTCGTTTTCTTTTTGAATAATATGGATTAAAAAAAAAAAAAACAAATTTTCAAAAAAATCGATCATGGATTAAAAAAAAAAATCACAAATTTTCAAAAAATTCTATCATGGATTACAAAAAAAAATTTGATCATGGATTAAACAAAAAAAATACACAAATTTTCAAAAAATTCAATCATGGATTACATAAAGTTCGATCATGGATTACATAAAATTCGATC